ACAGGACCTTCTAAGTTTTATGTCTTTGTTTTTTTTTTTTTTTTTTTTTTTTTTTTTTTGAGACAGAGTCTCACTCTCTAGCCCAGGCTAGAGTGCCGTGGAGTGTCGTCAGCTTAGCTCACAGCAACCTCAAACTCCTGGGTTCAAGCGATCCTCCTGCTTCAGCCTGTCGAGTAGCTAGGACTACAGGCATGTGCCACCATGCCCGGCCAATTTTTTATTTTTAGTAGAGACAGAGGGTCTCCTTCTTGCTGATGTAGGTCTTGAACTCCTGAAGTCCTCCCACCTTGGCCTCCCAGAATGCTAGGATTACAGGTATGAGCCACTGGGCCCGGCTGTTTTATGTCATTTTTATTATGGGTATTGTAATGTCATAGTTCAAACACCAAAACATTTACCTTAGGAAGAATGAGCTCATCAAATTGCCAAATCCTAAATCATTAAATTTAAATTACCAATCACCATTTTAAGGTACAATTTGGAAAAAAAAAATGGATTGACTAAGTGGAGAAAATGCTCAATTCATTTTTTTATATCTTATAATCATTTGCAAATACATTCACTTAAAATTAATATGAAGTTCATTAATTCCCATGGCCTGAGATTTATGTGAAAACATGAGCTATTCAGTAAGTATTTGTTGGGTATCAACTATGTTCTAGACACGAATCAGAAATTATTTCTTAGGAAAAAACTTTAGAGACAGGAATAAACAAGTCACTTTGCTCTATATGGGTCTAAAGTTCTTGTCTATATTTCAAACTCTGGGTTTAGAGAGTTTAACTCGATTTCTTAAGATCATTCCAAAATATCTTATCCAGGAAATTCAAAGCTAACATTTAGTTGAACCCATGTGTACAAGCTATTAGGAAAACTCACAGAAAACTCTCCACAGAGAAGCTAGTGTTTCCATGAAAGTAAATGACTAAAAATTGATTTCATGTATTGGTAGCAATTTTAAGTAAAATCTTGGTTCATTGTACCCAGTGACACTGTTCTCAAGTTAAAATTATCTTCAGGAAACATTCAGCAAATACTGAATTATTTAGTGCCTACTGGGATGCAACAGAGAATAAGAGCGATGTGACCCTTGTTTCTCAGTGAGTTTACAGTCAGTGTAAATGAACACAAGGGAAATAAACAAATGAGCCTGCCTTGCACTAAGAATTTAATTTTAAAATAACTGTTGAAACATCTCCTTCCTTAAGCAACCACTATATTGTCAAGGGTTGCAACATGCCAACTGAAGATGTTTGGAGTTCTTTCTCAGCCTCCTTTACAGGTAAGGGAGGTGTGGAGATGCAGGCAGAAGTCACTTGGGCTTTCAGGGAAGCTCTTTAAGGGACATTTACTTAGGTGGCAGGTACTCCTTCACTCTTCTCATTCCCTGCTTCTGTCTGCCCGTTATTGGACACTATAGCTAGGGCTGTAGTGACCCTTTTGTACCATGAGGCAGCCTTGAGGAAGACGAGTCTGGGAAATTGACAATGTCATGACATCACCTAGCTGGTCCGGGACTGTCTACCTGCAAACTTCTATCTGAGAGAAACTATGTCTTTATCTTGTTTAACACTGTTATTTCCAGTCTCTGTTATTAACAGTTAATCATAATTCCTCTTTTAAACATATTTTTTATTTTTTAAAAATAGAGACAGGATCTCTTGCTCAGGCTGGTTTCAAACTCCTGAGCTCAAGCGATCTTCCTGCCTTGGCCTCCCAGAGTGCTAGGATTACAGGCGTGAGCCACCATGCCCAGCCTAAATAGATTTTTAAAACAGATAAAAATATGCATTTCTCTGGAGATGGAAGGTCATCTAAAATAGAGTTTTAGAGAAAACCTGTATGTTTCCAACAAGCATGTGTTCGTATGAATTTCCTAAGAAATGTCCTAATGTACGTAGAAATTTGTATAGGACAACATCTTCTTGGACAGCTTTCTGGACACGCTCAACTCCAAATGGTCACTATTTCTATTCTGGAATAAATGAACCTGACCTTCATCTCTAAAAATCGTTTCAACGTCAACATCACAAGCTTCACGTTCCTTCTCTGTTTCATGCACATTCTGTTGTTCTATCCCTTCCACGTCCTAGAGACCACTCCATCTGGCTGAGTCCTCACCAGCACTCTTCTTCCTCCAGCAGATTTCTCTGGGCCTTTCTTGACTGTGTCCCCAGCCCTGATCTCCTAGAAATATATTTTATAGACTCTACCATTTCTCCTCCAGAACTCTAGGGTCTTAGCCACGCACTCTGAAGTGCTTAGCAGATTCACGGATCACTTTAAAGGAACACAGCAGCCTTACAACAGGGAAGGGAGATGGCCCTTTGGATAAGAATGTCATTTGGCATCTGACACTTTAGAAACATCATTGTCAACATATCAGCATCTTCTTCACCACCACCTTCTTCACATCCTCTTCTTCATCACTGCCTTCACCCCACCATCCTCATCACCACCATCCTCATCCCCAACTCTCTAGAGAATACCAGCTGACATGCCCCGAGCGCTTGTCATCACTTGTTCATTCGCAGAGACCTAGTGAGGCAGCTCTGTGCTAGAGTGCTGGACCAACAGGTAAAGAAACCTGGATGCAGAGTCGTCAACACGCTCACATCACACCGCTGGGCAGCGGGATTTGAATCCAGTTCCGGCACCAGAGCCCACCCCTTCCCCTCTCCATTCTGCCTCCTCCTGCAGATCTGGTATCAAAAATGTAGGACTCCCTCTTCGACGGAGAAGAACATCAGCCTTTCAGGAACGTGTTAGAAAGTTTAGCTGTGAATTTAATTTATCCAACATTGGACAAAGACTCCTTTGGGACATTTAATATCCGAGAGAGTCTAATGTACTTGCTAGCTACCCATGCTTCTCATTTTATTATTTATGTCTCCATACGAGTTTAGACATCAGTTCTGCCCTTTGGGAATCCCAAGCTTATTGTCTAATGTCCATTTGAAGAAAATTTTTGTGCCTATGTTAATCTCTACAGGGGAATACATTTTCCTCATGCTAGTCAGTCTCTTTGTCTTGTAATTTAATTTTTCAAATGAACAGATAACATTGTATGCTTTCATTGTGTATGTGTTTGAAGTATATACATACCCACATATCGTGGAATGGTAGCTAACCCTTAAGTTCTATTTTAAATTCTTCCTTGGATTCAGAGACACTAACAAACAACAGAAGTGGATCATTCACAGTGCTTAGTCCTTGACTGAGTACACATTTCTTTTTTTTCTGAGTCACAGAACCTAACTTCAGAGCCAGACCGAAGTAACTAATCAATCTCTCACAGCTGACAGCATGGATAAGTCTTCTTATTTTCGAACGAAGTTATCCTATTTTTGCTTTCATTGCCATGTTTGTATTGACTGTTACAATGTACCTTGAGTTTTTATTTTGAAATAGGTTGACAGGAAATTCTGCAGGTAAACCAATATTCCCCAGTGACTACCCACGGAGCACCGGTGTAGCAGGACACAATGAGCTGGTCCAGGAAACACTGTCCCCAGGCCAACCCTACAGACCTAACCCTCTTAGAGAAACACGAAGTAGTCTAAAGTGAACCAGAAGTCCTGCAGTTAGAGAAAGCTTTTAAACTATTCAACTCAGTGCTCCCCACATCTATTTGAACCCGAAATCCTTTTTTACACCCCCTGTAGTGTGACCTGTGGGACCGATTTCTTGGAACACTACTTTGGGAAACACAGAAGGCACCAGCCACCTGTAGGAACACCACCGGGGGAGTCAGGGCACAGAGTGTGCCAGGCTACCGCGGACCTTGCTGTTTTAAGGCTGGAATCCTGAGCGCCCAAGACACCATGGGGAGAAAGGGAGTTGTCTACACCCTGAATAAGGTGTAGAGGGCTGCTGCGGCGAGAGGCCGCATAGTGGGAGATCTGGGAGTCTGAGAGGGTCGGTCTACCTGTCCCAAGCCACCCGGAGCAGCCCTGGGGTTCCTCCAGAGAGGGTGGGGCAACCTCCAGTCCACAGGTGGAGCCTTTTCTCCCAATGCCCTGGAAGGTGTAAACGCCAGTGGCAGACAAGGATGCACAGCATCTGAGCCACAGACCTGGTTCACTTCCCGTTTCTGCCACTTACTGTGCCCATGACCTTGCAGCTGTTCTCCAGGTCCTCTGAGCTTAACCATCAGCTCATTGGTAAAATGCAAAACCAAGCTCACCCAGTCCATGAGGCAGCAGGAGGAGAGCACCATGATGGGTGCAGCAAAGGCTTGGCAAATGTCAGGGGCCCCTGTACCTATTCCAGGCCCTTCACTTGGCCTGAGAAAGGCATCTAATCCAGGGCCCTGGCCCCGCCCCCAATGAAGCTGTGATCTGCCATCAGATGCATAGTGCACATGGCTTCCTAGTTTGGGTACAAACTCAGCAACTGAATGCGATCTTATGTACTCAGCCCTTCCCCCAATATCGCTCCGTTGGAATAAATGGGAATCAACAGCCACGATCCACAGTCATAAAAGCACGGGGCTGAGAATAAGTCATGGCTCTCCTAGACAGACCCGCTTGGCTGTTATTCATAAGCTCCTGGGCCACATTGTTACTGGCAAGAAAGTCTGCTCTACCTCCTCGCCGCTGTTCCGTCTGGCCTCTCAATCTGTACTTGCTGGAAAAAAATAGTTATTGTTATGCTAAAATCACAATGGGACTCTCATAACTCAGTGCTAAATAACACCCATAAAACTATGAAAATGGCACTTGGGCATTAAAAGTTATTTTCTTGTGGACTTTAACAAGATTCAGTGCTTTTATTCTCACAGTGCCCTGGTGTTTCAGCTTCTCACACACACACACAAACACACACACACACAAACACACACGATAAAAATGTGAGGAAGAACTCCAGCAAAGCACCATTCTCTCTCCCGCAAAGGAGTGTGTTGATTTTGCACACAGGGAGCCAGCAGTATTACACAGAATTAATATCGACCCATGACCGCGGTCGTCACTGCGACGGTGGTGACAGCAGGGGCTTACCTCTTTCTTGGTGAATTTTGGCGAGTGATCGTTTTTGTCATCGATCACGATTGTGGCTGTGGCCGTGCCCGTCAATCCGACGTCCAGTCCGGCCATATCCTGAGCTTCGATGATCAGTTCGTACTTGGGATTTTCCAGAGTCTGCAGAGCACAAGCACAGAGGGAGACGGTGGCATTTAGATCTGGGGTGCTGCTTTGGGAAGGTGGCAGATGCGTGGCTCTGGCTGTCTCTCCCCCTCCCCCGTGGAGGGCAGGCGTCTTTAAGCAGCCACTGCAGGACTCCCTGCTGTGTATAAATGCGCCTTAAGGACCCCTCCAATACAAGACAGTCACTATTCATGGACTGGAGCTGGCTGGGGGACAGAACCTATTTACTGTTCCTGTATAGGGGAACATGTGATACATTCCAGAATGTTCCATTTCCTGTGCTGGGCTATATACACTGTACACTTAATTTTTATACCCACATCTGTCATTTCACAGTGACCTCATGAAGCTGACCTGGAAATGCGGGTTAACTTTCATGGTGAGTTTTTAGGACAAAGATGGCAGCTTTAGGAACTCACATTTACTGAACAATTGGATGGCACAGACACTGTATTACTGTACTTTACAGAAATCCTTATAGTTAATCTTTTCAGCAAGCAGGTCAGACTGTAATTATTCTTCCCATTCTACAAATGGGGAAAAAACAACTGAGGTTTAGAATCACTTATATTGCATTCTTTCAGGTAACTTTAGTCTTATAGGATGTTAAATTTGGAAGATGCATTTAATCTAACCATGATCTGAAAAAGTTAACACAAACAATGTTGCACTATTGTCTCTTTTTGTATACATGTTTTTCATTTGAATATTTGACAGACACTTAGCCACCATATTCCAACATTCAACACAACTAACCACGTAGCTCTGCTGCTGCCAGTGGCCGGCAGATAACAGCCCCTGCATTTAAATCGCCTTCTGTAGCGGATCTGCTTGTCTTGGTCAAACCGCACACCTTTCTTCTTCTGGCAAGGCAGCACCCCATGTTTGTTTTGGGGTCCTACCCCTCCCTTATTCTCTGCTTTGAGAAGGTTGGACTGCCTTCTCCCCAGTGAACTTCTGGATTGAGCTCTGATGAGGAGAAGCTGACAAGCACATCCCATGCCAGGGGTGTAATGATTAGTCCGGGTTCTGTGTTTGGCAGTCAGGGACAGGAAGCTGTTTCCCCACAGTGGGAACCTGGAAGCATCTATCTGGGGCAGCTAGAGGAGCCATGGCATGGCCACAGCAGGTGTGGTGCAGGGGACCAAGTCTAAGAATGAAGCCATTTCCTGGGGGAATTATGCTTGAACCGTGGGGCAAAAAGAAATGGGTCTCAGTGATTATATGGGGGCCATTTCATCACGCCATGCCTGAAGCCAGCCCTGCCCACGGACTTTTCAGCTAATGAAGGCATTAATTTTCCTTATTTGTTTAAACCAGTTTGGATTGGTTTCTTAATCACACACAGAGAGTCTGAGTGGAACTACCTTCAATAACAAAAATAAAAGGTGTTTACAATCACATAAATAGTCCTACCAGTACGACAGCCTCAAAAACAGTTGGTTATACCAACTAATAATTAAGAAATACCACAGGGAGCAGAGAACAAAAAAGCAACAGGGGGTCTCTACTTTTCTGCTAAAGCCATCAGTTTACACAGTAAATTTTAATAGCACGGTGCTAGCTTTCTCAGAAACTTTGAAGTATTTTTGAAGGGTAGTTAGCTGTTTGCTCCCTGGGGCATCTTTAATTGGTGTTTCTTTAACTTCTAAGTAGCTTCTGAACTACTAACTTAAGAAGTATTAGTTTTGTTGGACAGTTTGGTAAGGTCCTAAATTTATTTTTTATTTTTATTTTTGAGACAGAGTCTCACTCTGTTTACCCCAGCTAGAGTGCAGTGGTGTTATCATAGCTCACTGCAACCTCCAGCTCCTGGGCTCAAGCAACCTCCTGCTTCAGCCTCCCAAGTAGCTGGGACTACAGCACTGTGCCACCAGACCTGGCTAATTTTTTAGATTTTAAGTTGAGATGGGGTCTTGCTCTTAATCAGGCTGGTCTCAAATTCCTGAACTCAAGCGGTCCTCCAACCTTGGCCTCCCAGAGTGTTGGGATGACAGGCATGAGCCATTGTGCCAGGCCAAGTCCCTAAACTTAAATTCAGGATGATGAGTGTGATGCTGATGTGCTCTTTAACAGCTGCACACTTGGCACATGATGTTTTGGTTTTAATTCCAGCTCCACCAGGACTAAAGGTCCCAAAGCTCTTTGATGGCTGAGTGCAAATGAAATTTGACACTAGACCCAGCTCTGGTTCTGCCTGGGTCTGTTGGTACTTCTCTGTAAGGGTGCTTGAAATGCCATCCACTCACAAGTTGAAGCTGGAAAACTTTACCCTAATGTAAAGTTTCCTACTTATCATCATTGACAAGTTGGATTGGATTTACTATTTGCCATAAATAGTAGCTGGACCACATGAAACCAGTAAATTGGCCACCTACAAAATCTTTCTTGAGTGTCTCTGGACATGCTAACCACTAGCCTGCACATCATAAGCCTAATATCTTGTATAAGATTTTAACTTATGTCCCAAGACATAAATATTTTTGATAGCAAACAACTATTGAAATAAGAAATTATGTAGATTTTCCCAATATTAGAGAGATCATGGTAAATTTAATATCATTTTTCCCATGTAATAATCATCAACATAATTCTTGTACATTAAGGGTTGTGTAAAATATAATCATATAGATATTTTATAATTTACTTAATCATCTTATATAATATTATTAGGTCTTTAAGTTATTTACAGTGTTTTAAAAATGCTGATGGTTTTAAATAACACTGAAATGAACATCTCTATTCAGGGAGCCTTCTATATATTTTGGCTGTTATTTTTGGTTGTGTTTGTTTTGTTTTTTAATAATAGATTCCAAGATGCATGTGGAATTACTGGGGTGAAGGGTATGAGTATTTTAAGGCTTTTTGTTTACATTTCAATATTGTTTTCCAAGAGGATGTTATGAATTTTTATACCAGTCATACCAGAACGTTTAGTTTATGATCCCAGACAGGGCTTGTGTCTAAAGCACAACTCCTGTTAATTGCCCCATGAAGCAAGTTGGGGGAACTAGTGTGAATCTATGATGGCGACCTAAGAAGAAGAGAAATTCCTCACAGCGTTCACTCTCCTCCAGCTGGGAGTATAGCTCACAATGGAGACTGCTTCAAACACTAATGACGGCAGGCGGGTACTCTTCAATCTCTCAGACCCCACTCCCTTTTCCTGTACCTACGCTGTCACTCCCTGAGGGCATCGCCTGGTCCTCATTCTCGGTACAGGTGGAGTTCAGGTGGGGTTGGCTTTGCCCGTCATCTAGGGATGGGTGTGTGGTTCACGCCTGGCCAATCAGGGCTTTCCATTCCCATAGCCATGGAATGTGCATGTAACCTAAGTTAGGCCACCCTGACATTGAAATTCAGTTCTGGGATGGATTTCTTTTAGAGTGCTTAGGGCAAAGAAGTTCTCTTTCTGTTAGACTTGAAGGTGGTAGGGCATCAAGCTGGAGCTGGTAAGGGCCATTTTTAACCCCACGGAGAAAGTCAACCTGAGAATGGAGGTGACACAGGCAGGTAACAAGAGGTAGAGATTTATGGAGTTGGTTTTTAAAACATCATTTGAGGCCCTTAATAGTCATCCTTGAATCCAGAATTTACTACTCAGATTTTGTGAGTTCTATGAGCTAATAAATTTCTCCTTGCCGCCAGACACTTGATTTAGATGTTCTGTGAGTAGCAACAAGGCAGTTTCCACTAATACTGCAACTAATACTATGGTCAATTATCTGGTTATTAGTAAGAAACTTAAGAGCTACCAAATCACACCATAGCATCGCAGTGGGCTCTTCACAACAGCATCCTACCATTCATGAACACATCATTTTCTCTTTTAACAGTTTCCCCTACACAGACATTTTTCCCCAGAGAAAGTTACCATAATTTTTTCTTTTATTATTTTATATATCCATTTAATTGGTGGTTAATGAACATCTAGTTTAAATGTTGTGCTGGGTGTTGGGGATATATTGATGGAAAAACAGGGTCCCTTTCTTTAAGGTGCTCAAAGCATGGGGTTGAGGACAGTCATGTCCACGTATAACTGCAACAAAATACAGTCAAAGCTAAGCAGAGGTATGTACAAATTCTCATGATCATACAATGGGACGCATGGGCATAACTCTCTTGTAGTTAAACACATTTTATAAATAATTTTAAAGAGGAACCAGTCAATCTCCATCTCTTGAAGAAAATTAACTCTATAGTTGCAATGTGAAATAGATTGATTAACCTTGTAGAGAATCAATTAGATTACTAAGTACATAAATTGCAAGGTTTGGGATGAAATGTTCCAAAAGTCTACATTTTCTGGCAAACTTAAGGCTACCATTAAAAATGCTTTTATTACTGAAGTAATATCCAATTATTATAAGGAAAATCAAAACAATACAGTCATTTCTAAAGTGGAAACTGAGGACTTGCCTCCACCCGTACCCAACCTTACCCCTAAGAGGGAACTGGGAGTAATGAAGTGTGTCTCCCTGCTGCTTTCCCTGCACATTACAAGTACACACACGGATACATTTGATATACCCTCACATGCAGCACACATTTCTATGCACACATATTTAAAGGGAATGATACCGCTTACGTAGCTGCACAGTTTGTTTTACCATATCACTCTTATCTCAGTGCTTACAGATCTGCCTGTTCATTTCAACAGCTCTATACTACTCCCCTGTAGGAATCCACTCTAATGTCTTCAATCGGCCCCTCTTATCATTTGAGTTGCTTCCAAATTTCACTTTCGAAAGCAACTCTAATATAAAAAAATTCGTTGGCTCGTTAGTATTCTCGGATTTTTCTCTAACGGACACTATTGCTTTCACAATGAGGACAACAATAACAAAAAACCAAACAACCAAGAATAAAAGTAACCTCCTTTGGAATGTAAAAGACCCAGTCATACTGAAAGATGAGAGAAAATGCCACGTGAGTTCCCGCGCTCTTGCGTGACCAGGATACTTCCCACTTACGTCCGATCTATTTCCCACTCC